AATAGCATAAATTTTTTAGGGTAGTTTATATTTTCAAAAATCTGACTGCTATAGGTAAGTGAAGAACTCAACCATTTCTACATTTAAGATAAACGTAAGAAAATACTCCACTAAATAATCCTATACCTAGAAAACCCAAGAGACTCAGTAAAAAATATATTGCAACTAATTGAGACATTTGGCATAGTGGCAGGACACAAGATCAACATAAAAAACTCAGTTGGATTCCTTTGCATCAGCATAAAGATTGCTGAAAAAGAAATAAGGAAATCAATACCCTTTACAATAAACCAAAAAACCAAACCCACTGCCGTCGAGTCAGATCTGACTCATAGCAACCCTTCCTTAGGTTCCCGAGGCAGTATCACTATGGAAGTAGATTGCTCAATCTTCCTTCCCAACAAATAAAATGCTTGGGAATAAATATTACCCGGTACACAAAAAACCTGTACAAAGAAAACTATAAAAGACTACTTCAGGAAACTGTAAGAGATCTGCATAAATGGAATAACATCCAAGGCTCGTGGATGATTCAACACTGTAAAAATTCTACCCAAAGCTATCTATACATTCAGTGCAATCATCCCAATCAAGATCCCATCAACATACTTTAAGGATATGGAAAAACCAATCACTGACTTCATATGGAAAGGAAAGAGACCTCACATAAACAAAGCAGTATTGAAGAACAAAGTAGGAGGTCTCACACTACCAGATCTCAAAACCTACTATACAGCCACAGTAGTCAAAACAGCCTGGTACTGGTGAATATACATGTAAACATGTACAGTGGACTAGAATTGAGAACCCAGAAAAAAGTCTGACCTATGGTCAGCTGATCTGTGATAAAGGGCCAAAATCCACTAAATTAGTAAGAGATAATCTCTTCAACAAATGGTGCTGGCAAAACTGGATATCCATTTGCAGAAAAATAAAACAAAATCTGTACCTCACACCATACAAAAAAACTAACTCCAGATGGATCAAAGACTTAAATGTGAAATATATGAATCAGACTGCAACCTATACCACTATGAGACCAGAAGAACTAGATGGTGCCCGGCTCCACTGTCATCCACTTGGAAGGGATGTAGGAGATCCTGCATAGAGAGGGAGAACAATGTGGAACAAAACTCAATATCATTTGGAGGCAAGAAAAAAAGAAGGTGGGGACCAGGTTTGCTGGTCCAATGGAGCCTGGTGTAACCACTGAGACTATGGCCCCTAGCCGCCCTTCAGGTCTGGAATTGGACCCACACCTGTGTTTTCCAGCCAAACAATATACAGGCATGTGAGTTAAACATTTACCTCAAGTAGACACATGCCCTGGAGAGAACAATCATGGGAGAAGGAAGGGCTGCTTATGCACAGGGAGACAGCTCAGGTGGCAGGAGAGTATGGAGGGATGGACACTGGGAAGAGGTAACTATGGGGAGGAAGTGGGAGGGGAGCTGTTGCATTGTGGTAAACTGTGGTCAATGACATGCGACAGTATATGTGAACTGGTGTATGGAAAGTGAATTTGCTCTGTAAATCTTCACCCAAAAAAAAAAAAAATGTTGGCAAGGATGCAGAGACATTGGGACTCTCATACACTGCTGGTGAACTGTAAAATGATACAACCACTGTGGAAAGAAGTATGGCGATTCTTTAAAAAGTTGGTATTAGAAATACCATTTGACCCAGCCATCTCATTAGTAGGTAAATATCCCAAAGAAGTAAAAGCCAGGACAAGAACAGATATATGCAGATCCATGTTCATTGCAGCACAATTTACAACAGCCAAAAGATGGAAACAACCTAGGTGCCCATCAACAGAAGAATGCATAACCAAACTATGGTACATACACACAATGGAATACTACGCAACCCTAAAGAGTAACCAAGAATCTGCAAAACACCACATAACGTGGATGAACTTGGAGAACATTATCTGAGTGAAATAAGTCAATCATAGAAGGACAAACATTATATTAGTCTGTTATTGTAAAAGTCAAGGAAAGGTTTATATATGGAAGGACATTTTCTTTGTTGGTTGCTAGGGGTGGAAATGGAGGGGACGGAAAACTGTTAGACAGGTAGAGACAAGTATTGATTTGGGTGAAGATAAGGGCAATGTATCAACATGGTGGCACTGAGGAAGAAATAGAGAAGCGCATGGGAGGTACAAGAGAATAAAGATGGACCCTTTTGCATATACAGTATTGTATTGTCAGTGAAGGCAAACTTGGATGTATGGGTGGATAGGCTGAACTATTAGTTATATCTAGGCAGGGAGGAGTGTGCCCAAGACCATGTATAGGGTTGGCAGACAATGTTTCTACAAGTATATTTGCATGTTCTGTAAGAATTTCCAGGTATATAGTAGAGCTGACAAGGGACAAGATTGTAGTCATTTCTCAGCCACAGCCAGTTACCCAGAAGGAGCAAGGAGTTGGACCTGTGGGCTTGGGCCATAGTCACAGGGGACATCAAGCTCAATTGGCATAACATACAACACAAAAACATTGTTCCATCTCCCATTTTGGTGAGTAGTGACTGAGATCTTAAAAGCTTGCAAGTGGCCAACTAGACTCATCCAGAGCAAAGAAGAATGAAAAAAACCAAAGGCACATGGAAACAATTATTCCAAGCTTCTGGTATACCATGTGATTTTCAGCCTATATTACTATGAGACCAAAAGAACTAGATGGTGCCTGGCTACCAATGTCAACCACTTGGAGGGGGATCTATGTAGGAGAGCCTGGATGGAATGGGAGAATAATGTGGAAGAAAACTCAAAATCATCAAAAAAAAAAAAGGGACCAGGTTTGCTGGTCTGATAGAGCCTGATGGAACCACTGAGATTATGGCCCCTAGCTGCCCTTTAGGTATGGAATTGAACCCACTCCTGTGGCTTCCAGTCAAACAAAAGACAGGCATATGAGCTGAACATTTATTTTACATAGATACACTCCTTGGAGAGATCAATCATGGGAGAATAGAAGGGCTGTGTATGCACAGGGAGGTAACTCAAGGGGTAAGAGTGCAGGGGAGTAAAGGACACAGAGAAGAGGTAACCATGGAGAGGAAGTGGGAGGAGAGCTGTTGCACTGTGGGAAATTGCAGTCAATGTCATGAGACAAAATGTGTATGAACCAAAGTGTATGTGAGCTCTGTATGGAAAGTGAGTTTGCTCTGTAAACTTTCACCCAAATCACAATAAAAATTAAAAAAAAAATAAAGAAAGAAAGAAAGAAAAGAAAATATTCCCTGAAATAAAGCACACTCAATTAGAAAACTGAAATTAAACTGAAAATCAAAATGGCATGTTTTAAAAACAGTTAAGGAGAAAAGAATTCAGGCAATTCACTTATATATACAGCTCTGATATACGAAAACAATGTTCAGTGTCACTGGTAAATAAATACACATTTTTAACACTTAATACCTTTACTCATCCATTAAACAGACAATTGTACAATAAACAATAATAATTAGTGGTAGTTAGCGTAAGGAAAAATTGAGTATTCTCCTATATTAGAGGTAGAAGTATAAACTGTTTCCTGGAGAGAATTGGGCAATATTCAATATAAATTTCTGAATTCTACCAACAGAAATTTATTTTATGAAAAAATACCCACAATTCACTTATCAACACAGTTAGGTTCCAAAGTCGTTATGCAAAAATGGACATGATAAAAAAATAGACGATGACTACATGAGATCACAAAATAGAGGATGAATGCATCATTATATTAACTGCCAAACTACTGAGAATCATGCCCAGATAAACCATCAAGCCGGTGTACTGCCACATGTATGTTGTTAATACGTAAAATAGATTTTTCACTATCATAAGTGTGAAATATAAGATAACAAGACAATAAGTGCCCAACCTTCCTTCCTAGGAGTGGCTAGTGGGTTTGAACCGCCAGTCTTCTGGGTAGCAGTCAAATGCCTTAGGCACTATGCCACATTAAAAGTCACGTGAGAGAAAATTTAACAATATGACAAAATGCTTATATTATAACAAATAGAAAAACAGTTTACAAAAAATTCACCAGCCACTCCTCAGAAGGAAGATGGAGCAATCTACTCCCGTAGTGATACTGGCTCGGAAACCCAAAGAAGGGTCGTTATGAGTAGGATCTGACTCGATGGCAGCGAGAGTAAATGAGTGAGATTTTGGTAAAAAGTAATTTATCTACATATATATGAAAATTAACATAACAAAATTATGTCATTTATTATTTTTACCTGTATTTTATATTTTTCTATAGAGAATAAGGAGCTCTGGTGGCTTAGTGCCTATGCCATTTGACTCCTAACCAGAAGGCTTATGGTTCAAACCCAGCAGCCACTCCTCAGAAGAAAGGTTGGGCAATCTTCTTCTGTAATGATACTGCCTCAGAAAGCCAAGGAGGGGTCACTATGAGTTGGATCTGACTTGATGGCAGTGAGTTTCGTTTTAGAGAAACGGTGAGTTTATTTAGAGAAAAATATTCTAAATTTATAATTAAAAAATGGTGCTCTAATTTAAAAAGTAACAAGTGAGAAGAGGTAAAAGGTCTGAAAACCAGGAAGTGCATATAACCATCTAAAAATCTTTTTATATACAAGCTAGACAATGTGATACTTCTGCTCATTTAAGATATATTGCTTAAGCTTAATCTAATATTAAAAGTAGAAGTCAGGTAGAGTAGTTGTCATCAGAGAGATTAGTTTAAGAAGGATCTTTTGTGTAAGTAGAAGCAGACTTCGTTAAAAAAAAAATCCTAAAATGAAGCCAATGAAAATAGTCTTTGTCCTAGTTGGATTCTCAATGGCAATTTCTTTTCAATACCTAAGAATAGAAGATGCAGTATTTTAGGTGTTTTTGTGTATTTTGATGTATGTTTGTTTGTATGTGTTTATATTTTTAAGGAATTAAAACTCAATATCATGGGTTTTTAAAGAAAAACAATCAATAAAAAATATTATCAAATGGATAAAATTTTCCATTTGAGTACTATACTTGCCTTCGGGTTGTTTGCATCAAATAGACCAGTTGAAAGACCAATCAACAAAGAACTCTTGCTTTTATTTTTTGGTGGTGAATCAGAGCGAGATCGAAGTGGAAAGGATTCTTCTGGTGAGCACTGAATTAATTGAACTTGCGAGGCTATTTTGAAGTCTTTAGATTGAACCACTTTATGAAAAAATGGTTCTGATTGCGTAGATTTAGAGTGTGATGAATCATCCATTTCAGGCTCTGTGTTATAAAGAAGAAATTATGTGAATGTCAGTATGATATTAAACACCTAAGGGTTAGTGACAACACATGCAAATTTAACATGAGTTCTAGCAACAAAACAAACAAACAAGTCTACCAAGAAAACAAAATAAAAAGGTGTATGATTCTATTAGTTTATATAATAATCCTTAACATGATGTAATATTTTATCTTCAGAAAGTAGACTTCATCTATCATATACTTTCATTATACTGGAACTTTTAAATTGTAGACATAAATCCAAGGAAATGTGAAAAATTACACTGTTCAGACACTTGCATTAACTTCCAGTTTATTCCAAGGTAGAACAAATGGTTAAGTGTTCAACTACCAGCTGAAAGGTTGGTGCTTGAAACCCACACAGAGATGCCTTGGAAAGCAGGCTTGGGGATCTGCTTCTAAAAGGTCACAGACTTGAAAACCCTACGGAACAGCTCTGTTCTGCACACATGGGGGTCATCATAAGTTGGAGTCAACATAACAGTGAGTAACAACAACATCAGTTAGGAAGAAAAACCGTATACTTCTTATATTTTAACTACTACAATTAAAAACAAGATGACAACTTATTCAATGTCTTAACTGGCTGAGTTTTGGCAATCATTATTTTTAACTTGAATATTCATCAAAATAACTGATCAAAAAAATATTACCGTCAGTGTTGCCACATAGTCCAGACTTACTAACTAATGCATCTAGTGTTCTCATCTTATTACATTTTCTAAATAATTGAGGATAAATAATTCAGATAAGGAATTCTCACTATTTTTACGTTGCACAAATAAAGCAGGTTGGTACTAACAGTCTTCTAGAATGTAATTATAATTATGCATTGATGTTTACCTATTTGAACTTCATTAAGTTGGTCAACATTCCTCAGGAATTCATCTCCAGAAACTTCATTTTGCTGAATAAGGATCTTATCTTCCAACCTGCCAAAAATGAGACATGGATCAAATTCTGGTTTTATATTACTTCCACAGTAAATCAAAAAGTTAAAAAAATAGAAGACATGGTCTCCATTTTCAAGGAACTTTGTTGTTAAGTGCCATAGAATCAGTTGCAACTCATAGCAACCCCAGGTACAACAGAATGAAATACTGGCGGTCTGGTGCCATCCTCAAAATTGGTGCTATGTATGTGCTCATTGTTGCAGCCACTGTGTCAATCCATCTCATTGGGGGACTTATACTCCACTTTACCAAGCTTGATGTCCTTCTCCAGAGAATGGTCCCTTCTAATAACATGTCCAAAGTATATGAGATGAAGTCTGACCACGTTCACTTCCAAGGAGCCTTCTGGCTATACTTCTTCCAGGACATATTTTTGTTTGTTCTTCTAGCAGTCCACAGTACATTCAACAGTCTTAGCCAACACCATAATTCAAAGGCATCAATTATTCTTTGGTCTTCCTTGTTCACTAACTTTTACATGCATATGAGGCTAAAAAAAAAAAATTGCTATCAAGTCGATTATACTCATAGTAGCCCCTCCTCCTTGGGTTTTTGAGGCGGTATCTCTATGGAAGTAGATTGCCCAATCTTCCTTCCAAGGAGTGGCTGGTGGGTTTGAATTGCCAGCCTTCTGGTTAGCAGTCAAATGACTTAGGCACTATGCCACCAGAGCTCCCTCATATGAGGCTACTATTTAAATACCATGGTTTGGGTCAGGCACATCTCAGTCCTCAAAGTGACAGTTTTGCTTTTTAGCAATTTATAGAGGTTTTTTGCCACAGATTTTCCTAATGCAATACATCGTTTGATTTCTTGACTGTTGCTTCCTTGGGAGTTGATTGTGGATCCAAGGAAAATGAAATTCTTGACAACTTCAATCTTTTTGCCATTTATCACAATGTTGCTTATTGATCTAGTTGTGAGGATTTGTGTTTCCTTTATGTTGAGATGTAATCCATACTGAAGACTGTATTCTTTGATTTTCATCAGTAAGTGCTTTAAGACCTCTTCGCTTTCAGTAAGCAAAGTTATTTACAGGAGGTTAATAAACACACAGGTCATGGTTTTATGAGATATTATAGGATTTCTGGTAAGGATTTTGCACAATAAATCAACATCTTGTCTTTGTGTCCTGAAAATCATTCAAAAACAACAAAGAGTTGGGGAGTTTGAATATCAGAGGAGGTGTGAAAAACCCAAACATAATGCATAATTTTTGCCAAAATTAGGAGATCAGAGGTATAATCTCTAGACTCCAACCAAAAAAAAAAAAAAAAAACCCAAACTCACTGCCATCGAGTTGATTTCAACTCAGGGCACCCCCGTTTGGGTTTCCAAAGTGGTAAATCTCATGGAAGTAGAGTGCCCATTCTTCCTTCTCTGGAGAGGCTGGTGGGTTTGAACCACCAAACTTCTGGTTAACAGTCAAACGCCTTAAGCAATACACCATCAGAGATCCTTCCAGACTCCAAAGGAGAGGTAAAATAAAACAGGAGTTCCATAGAAAAAAGTAGAGGCACCAAGCTCTGGAGAGAGGGATGAACAGTGACAGACCTCAAAAAGAGTTAGCAAGAAAACAGAATGTTTCCAGAATGTGAGAGCACTTCCTTGGCCTGAAAGTAGATGACACATAGAGAATCACACAGAAATATATGAATCAGACAAAATACCTGTATTTGAAGTAGCAGAAAAAACTGCTGTTTGGTTGTGAAAGCAGATTTTCAGAACTCATGGAAAAAGAAGAAAAAGCAAAAACATTATAGAAATAAACACACAACTGGGAATAGCACAAAAAATAGGCAAAATTGAAAACTCAGGGAGAAGGAACAGAGAAATGAGAAACAAAATAAAATGGAAGCAGAACAAAAAGTGCGTAAAATTAGAAAAAAATGATAAATAGAAAAAATTGAAAATGATACAGAAAACAAGCATAGGTAATCCAAGAGACACATAACTGAAATTCCTATAAAAAAACAAAAATATAATACTAAATTTACGAACATTCTCTGAAGCAGTCTTAATCTACATGCTGAAAGAAATCACCATGTCCATGTTAACTCCTTCAGAACTGACAACAATGAGAAATACTTAATTAAGTCAGTAGATTTCAAAGATAAAGAATATTTTAGAAAGTCAAGCAAAAATATTATTTAAGAAAAAAAGTTTATCCCTTTATAAATGACATCACGTTGGCTTCAAATTTCACTTCAGAAATATCAAACTCCAGAAGACAGTGGAGCAATATGTATAAATTACATGAGAAATAGGGATGTATGAACCGAAGATTTTATATCCAATGATACTGTTCAAGTATAAAGGTTATAGAGGTTATGATTACAAGGAAGACCAGTTAATACTACTACTATTATTCAAATTTATGCACCAACCACCAAAGCCAAAGATGAGGAGATTAAAGATTTCTACCAACTTCTGCAGTCTGTAAACCAAACATGGAATCAAGATGTACTGATAATTACTGGTGATTAGAATGCAAAAGTTAGAAGCAAAGAAGAATAACTGGTAGTTGGAAAAAATGGCCTTGGTGATAGAAATGATGCTGGAAATTTTGCAAGACCAAAGACTTATTCAATGCAAATGCATTTATCAATAACATAAGAGGTGGCTATACAAGTAGATGTCACCAGATGAAATACACAGGAATCAGATCAACTATATCTGTGGAAGGAGCTCTGGTAGCATGCTGCCTAAGGTACTTGACTGCTAACCAGAAGGCTGGCGGTTCAAACCCGCCAGCCACTCCTCGGTAGGAAGGTTGGGCAATCTACTTCCATAGTGATACTGCCTTGGAAACCCAAGGAGGGGTAGCTATGAGTCAGGTCCAACTCCATGGCACATAATGACAACAACAACAACAAATCTATGGAAAGAGGCAATGGAGAAGCTCAGTATCTTCAGCCAAAACAAGGCCAAGAGCTGACTGTGGAAAAGACAACCAATTGCCTGTATGCAAGTTTAAGTTGAAGCTGAAGACAACAAGTCCACAAGAGCCAACCAAAATATGACCTTGATTATATCTGACCTGAATTTAGAGACCAATAAAAGAACAGATTTGATGCAATGAACACAAATGATCGAAAACCAGACGAATTGTGGGATGACATCAACAACATCATACATGAAGCAAAAGAGCACTAAAATCAAAGGAAAGGAAGAAAAGACCAAAATGGATGTCAGAAGAGCCTCTGAAATTTGTTCTTCAATGGAGAGAAGCTGAAGCAAATGCAAGAAATGACAAGATAAAAGAGCTGAACAGAAGATTTCAAAGAGCAGCTTGATTAGACATACTCAATTATTATAATGAAACATGCAAAGACTTGAAGTTAGAAAAATGAAAGGGAAGAACACACTTGGCATTTCTCAAGCTGAGAGAATTGAGGAAAAAATTCAAGCTTCAAGTTGCAATATCAAAAGATGCAAGAAACATCAAAAGGTGATGGAAGGAATACACAGAGTCACTGTACCAAGAAGAATTGGCCAGTGTTCATCTATTTCAGGAGGTGGCATATGATCAAGAACCAATGGTACTGAAGGAAGAAGTCAAAGCTGCACTGAAGGAATAGGTGAAAAACAAGGCTCCAGGAAATGATATAATACTCATTAAGCCATTTCAAGAAATGGATGCTGCGTTGAAGGCACTTACCCCATGTACGCCAAGAAATATGGAAGACAGGTACCTGGCCAACAGACTTGAGAAGATCCATATTTGTACCCATTCCAAAGAAAGGTGGTCCCACAGAAGGTGGAAATTATCAAACAAAATCATTAATATTGCACATTAAGTAAAACACTGTTGAATATAATTAAAAAATGGTTGTAACAGTGTATCGATAGGGAACTTCCAGAAATACAAGCTGGATTCAGAAGAGGACATGGAATGAGGGAAATTATTGCTGATGTCAAATGGATCTTGGCTCAAAGCAAAGAATACCAGAAATATGATTAGTTGTGTTTTATTGACTACGCAAAAGCATTTGACTGGGTGGATCGTAACAAATTACTCCCACTGCCAAGAATGGGAATTCCAGAACACTTAATTGTGCTCATGAGGAACCTGTATGTAGAACAGAAGACTGTCAATCGAACAGAACAAGGGGATACTGCATGGTTTAAAATCAGGAAAGGTGTGTATCAGTGAATACTTATTCAATCTGTATGCTGAGCAAATAATCCAACAAGCTGGACTATATGAAAAAGAGTGTGGCATTAGGATTGGAGGAAGACTCATTAACAACCTGCAATATGCAGAGAACACAACCTTCCTTGCTGAAGGTGAAGATGACTTGAAGCACTTACTGAAGATTAAAGACTACAGTCTGCAGTATGGATTATATCTGAACATAAAGAAAACAAAAATCCTCACAATGGGACCAATAAGCTGCATCATGATAAATGGAGAAAAGAGTGAAGTTGTCAAAAATTAATATTACCTGGATCCACGATCAACACCAGTGGAAGCAGCAGTCAAGAAACCAGATGTTGTACTGCACTGGGCAAATCTGCTGCAAAAGACCTCTTTAAAGTGCTAAAGCCTAAAGATGCCACTTTGAAAAAAAAGGTGTGCCTACTTCAAGCTACAGTATTTTCAACAGTTTCATATGCATTTGAAAGCTGGACAATGAATAAAGAAGACCAAAGAAGAATTGATGTTTTTGAGTTGTCATGCTGGCAAAGAATACAGAGAGTAGCATGGACTGCCAAACAAAATCTGTCCTGGAAGAAATGAATCCAGAATGCTCCTTGGAAGTGAGAATGGCCAGACTTGGTGTCACCTACTTTGGTCAAATTGTCAGAAGGGACCATTCCCTGGAGAAGGATATCATGCTTGGTAAAGTGAAGGGTCAGCAAAAAAAGGGGAAGCCCTCAACAAGATGGACTGATACAGTGGCTGCAATAGGCTTAGGTATAGTAAGGATTGTGAGGGTGGCGCATGACTGGGCAGTGCTTCGTTTTGTTGTACA